GAAGAGGAGGAGGAGGAGGAGGAGGCTTGGACAGAAAGGAACCCAACGACTCCAAAGTAACTAGGGGACAGTGGGAAATGTTTGTGTGTGTCTGTGTATCTTTCGTTTTCTCAGTATATGTGTGTGTGTGTGTATTTATTTTGTTGAAATAAAGTCGTGCATTACTAAAAATTTCAAACTATTTTTTGTTGAAATAAAATCTTTTTGTTGAAATGGGCACGATCCTGCATGAGTTCATGTGTCGGTACGAGTGTGAACATTGTGTTTTTTTAAGCAGTGCTATCTTTGTGTTGTAAAACTTCATGTATTGTGCATGTGTATAATTTGTGCACATGTGTTTGGATGTTTTTCCACTGATGCACTTTTGTTTATGGCTCCTGAAGGGTCCTCGCAAGTATAGTGACATCATCCCTGTGCGGTGAGGCAGGCGGTGGGACAGAACACGACGAGGGGGGGTGGAGGAATAAATTTACCGACCAACTGGCTCTGTGTGTTCCTGTGACATGTTTATCACGGAGCAGAAACACATGCTGTCAATGATCACTCGTTGTTTGAGGATCAGTTATCTCAGCATTAAGGCCCATTAGTATTCTTTGGAAACCAATTCAATTAGTGCTCTCCAGGGGCCCCGGGGCCGCAACACCACATCAGTCAGACCGCTGGAGAGAGAGAGGAACTGTCACAGCAGCGTGTGAGTGCGTGAAACTACATCTTAAAGAGAGATTGAGGATTTGTTCCCCACCTCTCACTTCCTCTAGAGGCAGGTTTAAGGTCCAGATACGGAGCGTTTAGGTTTATAATGAAAAGTGATCTCTGACACGCGGAAAAATTGGGTCCGGATATTTTCCAGGGATTCTCTTTCACATGTGAAGAAGCAGCAGGAGATTGTCCGGGTCAGACTCGTCCTCAACTACAGGACAATGTGTGGAACATTCAGACGAGAGGAGAAGCCTGTGGAGCAGCAGGAGGCAGGACATGACGTATAAATACTGCTGCAGAGATGATAGGTTTTTTTCAACAGCGACGTCGGCTCTTTTCGAATCTCGTCGTCTTTCCAAGTTGACCACTTCTCTGGTGTCTTCCACGTTTACCGCTCCTCTTCTTCATCCTGAGATATTTATATAACATGGACTCACTCTGTCCGTACATTTTAGGAGCTGCAGGAAAGTTCTGGAAAATGTCAAGAGCAACGGACATTCGTTCTCACAGAACCTCCAGAAAATTTAAGGCAATGAACTGTTTTGGTGAATCCACTCTCTGACTTGTTGGACGGCTCAGTTTTCATCTTTAAGTTTTCCTTTCTGAACTGATGAAAGAACGTGAAAGTGCTTCACAAACTAGAAACCTAAAAGTAAAATCATATCATAAAAAAAAACCGAAAAAACAATGAAAAAATAAGAGTAGTACCCCCACCCCTTAACCCCCCCACCCCAGTCTTGGTGGTTATGGCAACCACTGTTTTGGGCTGAGGGAGCGACGGCCTCGGCCCGGTCTTAATCCTGGTAACACAGCTGTCTGGATTACCGGCGCACCTTGACCTTGAGCGTTTGAATCCCTCGCTTCCCGGGACAAAGCTGTCGGCCGGTTCACCTGCTGCTCCACTGATGGAGAGATAAAGCCAGGACGAGACATCGGGCTGAACGGAGCCTGATCCACATCACAGCCGCTGTTTGGTTCCATTAAATAAAAGCTGCTCAGCTCAGTGTTTGTGTTTCACTTGACAGAACAGGTCATGTTGACTTTTTAAACCAGAACTCATATCAGCAAATGAATGCCTCGATTGTGTGATCAGAGATTTCCTGTTATTGATCTGCTGTTGATGCTTCATATGTGCTCATTAGAGTGTTTTAATCCAGCATTTTTACACCAGTTCCATTGTCATAACTGTTGTAGAAAATCTGTGAGATCATATATATCAGAAAAGATGATGAGCCACTTTAAGCTTTTATAAAAGGTCTGACCCACAGAGATGGACGACTATCATTACACCTCACCCTGTTTTTACATCATCAAATATCTAATTAAAACCAAACTGATCAGAAACAAAAACACCTGAACA